AGCTAAATATATTACAGTATACAATTTTAGTACATTATTAATATAATGAATACCTAACATTTTACAAATTTAATTTTAAATTATTGTTGTATTTAATACATTTCAAAAAGTTAATACAATATTATTATTTCCATAAATTAATAAACGTCTTATACCTATAATGATAAAAATAATAATCTTATAAAGTTATAATATTAATAAAATAGTTAATATAAATATGTACTTCAACTTGAGTTGTATTGTTTACAATTCGCAGTCCACAGAGGTGTACTAAACTAAAAATTAACTTTCCTTGCTTTTTTTTGAAGCAAAGTGTTGAACGATGTCTTCTAAATCCAATTCTTGCTCCAAGTCGAACTCAATGGATAACAATACTAACCCGGTAAACCTTTCATTGCTCATGGTTGATCTGAGGTAGTTTTTAATAAGTTTCAACTTAGAAAAACTCCTCTCAGCTGACGCTACAGTGACCGGAATCGTATAAAACGTTAGAACGATTCTCAAACTAATCGTAATATTACGGTAAATCTCTTATAATTTTTTATTTTAAATAAGCTCAAGATTTTTGTTGGGAGAACTATTTGGTTCGGTAAGTTGACAAAATATTTTTAGTTCTTCAATTAGTTCTATTGCGTCGATATCGGATGTTTCTTTTGCTGATGATAAAATAGCCAAATCTTTGCAATGATTTAATAATGTTTCGTGCTCCCAGTTTTTTAATAAGTTAATATTGTATAAGAATCCAAAATTTAAACAATGGTGGTTTAACAGATCAAATCTGTCTCGCAAAGAATTTATAGCTGTGTCTATTATTGTGTGGGAAAACTCTACTTCATCATAAAAAAATGCCGCCTCAGTTTCATTGAAAATGTTTCCGCCCTTAGGCAAAGGCCTAACCTGCTTATGCTCTAGCGACGGGCCTCCTGTCTTGATGTCCATGATTAATACAAAATACGCAGTTTCTATAATATTATGCAATAATATATTTAATATATTAGCTATCTGAATATAATTGATTGGTAACACACGCACCCTCTTGCGTATTTTAGATTCTGAGCGGAGCGATAAATGTTTTGATTTTACAATGATGTGTGTTTTTGTATTTATTTTTGTGTCTGTCATCACTGTTTCATGCAGTTGAAGTGCTTCAATTTTCTTCAACAGCAATTTTTCTGGTAGGAAAACGAATCTAGTTGGTGCCTTCGGGAGGTCAAAATTTAAAATTCCCAATAGTAATCAAAAACAACAGAAAAAACAAACAACAAATTAAGGAAAAACGGAAATTTTTACACAAAACCTGTTTTAGAAAAAATCGATTTTGGTTTTTAGTGTAACAAGAATGACCATATAGATACATAACATTTTCACTGAATATTTGTGTAAGCATTTCCCATACATCATTCAATTTTCAAAATAATTTGATTTGAGTTGAAATATTTATAGGCACATACAATTTTCGATTATTAACTGTTTTAAGTCGATAAAAAAAATTTTCTCTCGATCAAAAAACTTGTAAATGTTCCTTGTAAGTTGTTGTTAATTTTTTATGAGCGTTTAAACCTAGAATTTTGCAAATTATATTTAGTTAGAAATTCATAAAAATTTGTCTATTTACATCTAAGATTTCAAAATTTAATACAAGATTCCTTACAAGTTTGTCTACCTTTATCAAAAAAAAATTTCTACCGGAAAGTCAAATTAAATTTTTTGAGCGTTTGAAATTGAAATTTTTACAACATTCACTCGATTTCTATTGAAGCGATTTTTTTCTTATTTTGTTGTAATTCAAAAAAGAATTACTGTAGGCACTTGAAATTTACACCAAATTTTTATTTTATCAATTCATATATTTGATACAATTTTCAAAATATTCTGACTCGTTTTAAGCTGTTGGCGGACATTTTAATTTTTTTTTTTTTAAATTTTTTTTTATATGAATGTCAATAAAATTGTATTGGTTGTGTCAAAAAGCATGAAAAATTAATGCAAGACTCGTGATAAATTGTTACAATATTAGTTGAAAAATATTAAAAATACGCAGTTGTGATTTTTTTTTATAAGCATTTAAAGTTCAAACTTTGGCAAAATTTGTATGATTTTGTAGTTAAAAATATGTAAACTTTTATAGGTATGGATTAAAAATTTAAAACAAAATTTTATGTAAGTAGTTCATTTTGTAACCAACAACTCTAAAAATAAACATAAAGAGCTTTTTTTTAGTTATTTTATGTTCGAAATGTGGATAATGTAATTCATATATAACTAAGAATAATGATTTAAGTTATTTTGTAGTCATTTAAAAATATTATTATATTTTATACACACAATGACTTTTCAAATTAAATTGTTTTGGTAAAAATGAATTTAACATACTGTTGTACTATTGCTTAATAGTAAAATCAATTACTTAAATCACAATAACATCATCAAATATACTAAATTATTAAGCAATATTATACTCTGACAGATGGTCTTCGATCAGAATATTTTTCGGTATACAATGATTTTATTTTTATATCATTTAATTAAATTTAACACCATCTATCACAGTGATTCACTTTCAACCTACTGTACAGCAGAGCGACATTGATATTTTCTATAATCACTTATAGGGGTTATGAACATAAAAAAAAAAAAATAATAGATTTTGAACATGAATAGTTGAAAATGTATATCAACAACTCAAATGTTAGAGTAAAATGTTTGTTAAGTTAATATATTCAAATAAAATAACGTGTAGGTAACCAATTATAATATTATCAGTTATGGAATTGTTGTTTTTAGCAATTTAGATATAGATCTTCGCGAAGTTGTTTAAAAACTGTCCATTATATTAATCATACTTAGTACTAATTAAAATTTTAACACTAAGTAACAGATGATATAAGATCATGAAGATGATTATTATTTAGAGAAGGGCCCATATGATCAAAGGTTATAGAGCGTTCTCACATTTACACTACACTATAACTTTCTGAATACATTGTTATGAATATACTGAATATATTCTATATTTATACAATTGTAATATAGTTGATTTAAATTATACAAAAAAAATTTTATTGAATGTTCACAAAATCCATAATTGATAGAATATGTAAATGTTTTAGGTATTATAAACGATCATTGTGATGCTAAGGATCCTTAGGACCTTGCATTTGAATGCAAACACTTCAAATATCATGAATATCTTAAATAATAATTCAAAATGTTGGATATGTACCACTATCATGGGTCATAATAGACTATTGGACTTATCAATTGTCCATTTAGAGAGAAATACGCAGTGTTGGAGAGTAACTTAACTTAAGTTATAAGTTACTGTAACAAAATTAATTTTAAAGTCATTTGATGGTAATCTAATTACATTTTATTGTAAGTAATTTTTTATATAATTTAAGTTACCTTTTTTGTAGTTAAATTACTATAAGTTACTTGTTACTTTGGTTTAATACATTTTTAGAACTTATTGATAATGTGTGTCAATATTAATATATATCATACAATTACTATAATTTTTGAGTAAAATTAATTAAATAATGATATATTTGTTATAACATTGACTATTTATAAATCAGTCAAATGACTATAAAATGTTATTTTCAAATTGGAATTCTTTACTGTATTATTTAAAATAAATTTGAAAAATAAAGATTAATATGTAGCAAAATTAGTATCTGTTAATAATTTTATATTATTACTTGTCATTATTTAGTTTATGTGTATTGTCATATTGTTAACATGGTTATTAAGCTTCAGTGATATTTTTGAAGAATGAGCAACTTCTATTGTAATAGAGCTACTTTTTAAACTCATAATTACATTACTTAAAAGTAATGTAACTTGACCAAATAAAAAAGTAACTTAAGAATATTTAATAAGGAATGAGTAATGTAATTTAATTACCAAAAAAAAGTAACTCCAACAAACACTGGAAATATGGGTAAATACTAGATAGCCTTAATAATGAAAGTATTTTAAATAAATATGCTGAAAAACCTAGTAACTTTGTTATAAAATTAACTATGTAACAAACTTATAATTTACAAAATGTTCTGTTCAACGGAAAATTTTTGAGAACCAAACCTGATTAGAACCAAATTTAATCAATTCTATTTAACAAAATTAAAGGTGGGTAGGGAGCGATTTTTATTTTTGTTATCCATGAGACTTCATGATATGGAAGTTTTACTGTAACTATATCTATAAACTTATTAATATCAAAAAAATTTCAATTTTATAAATTAATATTTTATTTTATTTTTTAATTATATATAACGGGCGGTAGTACAGTAAAATTACAGGTAAAAAAAATATAAATTATAATAATTAGGACATACAAAATAAGATATTCATATTATAGCAAAAGCATAAACAAAACTATACATGCAATATAAAACAAAATATAGAAGTATAACAAAAAAAAATTAATAATACACAATTAAGATACACTGAGAAAGGTGGGATCCTTGTTACTCAGACGCATTATGCAGTCAATTGGTTTTAATAAACATGAATTGTAAAAAATAACCAAAAAAAGTAATAAAAAACCAAACCGTTTGTTTGTACCCAGTTCAAACTTAGGGTTGAAAAACTTTGTATTACTTCATGCTAAAAATAATTAATTTTTCTACGAATTCTCAACCATATACTATATTACTATAATATTGATTTAAATCTATATATTTATTTTATGAACAGAGATATAAAATATTATATATTAAGGTGGATATTAATATACAATAAATGAGTAGTGCGGGGACAAAGCCACTCACTGCTTTGTTTCCTCTAAAATTTGTCAGGTGCTTCTCTAATATTTTTGGGTGATTTGGGAGATAATGATAGATAAATAAATGACATGTATTATAATGAGACCATTGTAAAATTAATTAGCTATAAAATGTGGGAGTCTATCAATAGGACTTCACTATATATTTGAACATCAATAACATCATCGTTGATCATTCCTAACGTTCTGGTGCACTCCTCCATAGGTTGATTGCTGGGTCATACCATCTGTTTAACAATTTGGCAAAGTATCAGGCCAATTGAACATTGGAATAACCTGAAAGAATTAAATGAACAAAATAATTGTGAAGATAAATTAATTAAAATGGGATTATACTTTTTTTTTACCACCAAACTGTCAAGGCTTATACCAAATTAATAATACATTCAAATACCTGCGACAATAAATTAAAATATTACAATATGTACCTAATTACATAAGATCCGTGACGGATCCATATTTTTTTACTCAGACCTATTTATTTGTCATTCTGTGTACAGTTCATTTGTGTATGATTATTATAGGGTCTTATACTCACATAGTAGATAGAGAAGAAAAGAAATAATTGTTAAAATTTTGTGGTAATAAATTTAATTTAAAATGTTATAGTTTCAATATGTCGATACATTGTTATTCTAGTAGGTAGTATTAATATTAATTTACTGATAATTAGGGCCCGGATTTAAATGCACTTAAAACCATACAGAATACAGATATGCTCTAAAAAATAGCCAAAAATGCCCTTAAAAAATACAATTTACCACAAAAATGACCTTAAAAATGCCATATATTTTTTTTATACAAATTGTAATTTATACCTAAATGAGACATAATAATTATTTTATTAAAAAAAAACTGAAAATTTTAAATATTGACTGATATGATGTTGACATGCATGTTTTGGCCGTTTTAGGGGAAATATTATTCATTCTAAACATCTACAGTCAATAATAAATTAAGATAAGATAAAAACTAAATCGAAAAAAAAAATGACAATATGTATGGAAAAACCCGATAAACCTTCTTAAATACAAGAAAATAATTTATCTATAGATACTTTTTTGAATAGTCCAAGTTTTTTTTATCTATTTTGAACAAATATGCATTAAAAACCAACAAAATGACCCAATAATGCTAAAAATGCTCTAAAAAAGAAAAAACGTCGAAATATGCGAAAAAATGCAAATAAAATTTGTAGCTTTCAAACCCTCATTACATGGAACGAATTATGTACTTAGAAAGCATTGTATATGATCAACCAAAAAAATATGCACTTTGCATTGAAATCCGGGCCCTACTGATAATAATAGTTCTTTTTTTTTTCTATGGAGATTAATTATATTTAACATATTATTTGTTATTTGTCGCTATAGTTCATTGTTTTTTAGTGATTAATTGCATGAACTATAAAAATTACATACACCATTGTGGCTATGTAGTTGATAGAGATTGGATACTTTAAAAATGTGCATAAAGTCAATAGTTTTCTATAACTGTTTGACGTCTATATTCATCTATCAATAATTATTTTAATATGCAGATGCCAGATATAAAAAAAATAATCTGGCTTATCAACAATCTACACATGGGGTCCCTCCACTTATTCATTCTTTTTATTGAACAAGTGATTCCAATGCACTTTTTCCAAGCTGCTACTACACATAATATATGATTATTATTTATTAAATTTACATGTTAGGTGAGTTGATCTTCCATACAACAATTATCAATTTTAAAGTTAACTTACTTTTTCCTCAAATGAAACAGCAAGGTCAACAGAAGATAGGCTGAATAACTTTTGAACAAAATAAATAAATAAACTCAAAACCTTTAACTAATTATCTGAAAATAATTCATAATTTATTAATATATCTAGACCTAAAGAATTAGATCAACTATATAATATATTTATCATACCAAAAATGTTATTAATACATACATCAGAAATTGACAACAATTCTGTACAGCATTGTCAGTTGGCAAATACCAATACAGATTAATGGATCCAGTAAAAACTCAGTATATGCATTATTTACATAAACCAACTGTTATAGATTTGCAGCTGAAAACCAAACCTTGAGATGAAAGTGTAATTAAAAATGAGAGTACCTTAATATAGAATGTCTTACGTCTTACTGTTTGGTATGTACTTATAAAATTATAAGGGTTAGGCAAACATTCTTCTAAAAATAAGATGGATTCCAGCCCCCTCAATTCAGCACTGTATAAACATAAATAATAAGTAGTTAAAGTAATTAATTATGAGATTACATGGTATACATACTGTCAAGCATGTCATTTCAGTTTTTAAGTGTTGATGCTACAAAGTTATAAGGTAATTTGAAAATAATTTCCAGGCCACAATTTTCTTTAGGTAATTATGGAATACCTGTTGTAGTAGGCAGGATATGAAATTAAAAATATTAATGACAAGGATTGTTTGTTTTCTTATTATTTATTAATTTTAATATTACTTTTATTTGTATACTCAATTGTTGTTTTAGAGAAATATTTAAGAAGTAAAAAAAAATTCAAAATTATGAACTGATATTTGGGTTTTAAATAGATACATAACAGCTCATTTATTTTTTATTTTTATTGCTGAAATATTTTTCAAAAAAAAGTTGCAATGCAGATCCTTCAAAAAAAAAAATAATAACTTTTTGTATTGTGACATAATGAACACTATAAGTTAGGTGGTTTTAAATTGTTGATACAATTATTGAATTAAATGGAGAATAATTAATATTTTGTAATTACTTACTAATTAATCATAATTTCAAATCAGTGACGGATGCCGGTACTAATCGTGGATGATGGAATCTAAATATGGACCTGGCGATATAATTGATGCAGGTACCTATAAATTACAAATCTTTAAAATTATTCAGTACATTCCAATACACAATTTAAATTATAAAATAACTTACCTACTTATCTGACGTTGATTCTAAGTGCTCATGGACTTGCTAGTTCTGAGTAGTGAAGTAATATTGATCTAAAGTATATGCTATTGTGCATTGTGTCATCATTAAAGTATTCCAGGCAACTGGACGTGACCTACCACCTACTGGGATCATAGATAATAATTACCTATGATCGGGGTACTGAGGTATACATTATTACCTATCTCGGTGGATCAAGATCTCAGGTCATGTACTATAGATGTAGCCACCAACCTAATTCTTGATGCCATAATGAATACAATATGATCTTAGAGCTCAGACTGTTTGTGCGCATGCAAGACTCTAGCTTTTTCAGTCATTTTGGCACCAAATCTAATGCACAGCATATATGCGTATAGCTACATCAATAGTGCATGATCTAATATCAGGATCATGATTCAATTTAATCATAATCGAGGTGACCCAACAACAGATTATTACGAATGCGATATTACAAATTACAATAATATACCGTGCCCTTGTACACCACCGTATTATCAAAGGTAAACCAGATAGTGAACTTCTTAATCAAGTCATGTAATTTTCAAGAATGTAAGCAAATCAACACCTACTACAAAACAGTATTAATATTAATATATCACCACTAATAGTTAAAAAAAAGTCTCTATGAGAGCTTATATTACGATTTATTTAAATTTCACATGTACATCATCATATCAATATTAATATATTATTACGTCTTAGGAATGCGGCATTGATCCAAAATCGTGAAGTTAAGATGGATAATATGAATGATAAAACACTAGATAGCGTGAATTATCATTCCATTTCTTTATCTTATGGGGGGGAGGGGGGCACTTCTGTGTGAGTGAGAAACTTATTTCCCCTTGCCTATGCTCCCCTTTATGTTGACTACAAGTAATCAAGTCTTATGCAAAGTGTAGATAGACTATGCCGCATCCATATGTTTAACGTCTATGATAATTTGTTACATTTATGTTTACACCTTAAAATCACATTTATTACTTTCTACCCCCCCCCCCAACACAGTACCAACTAAATTTAATTGTATATCAGGAAGGATGCTGAAGTAGAAAATCGAAGAACTTTTACTACTCCGCAAGATGATGACAGATAAAAAAAAAAATAACAAATATCTTTGTAAGATCAGAACATTCTAACTCTAAAGCTAAAACTGTTTATAAATTATAATTATAATATTATAACGATCTATCAAGTGTTACCAAATGTGCTACGAATGAGAAAACAAAATTCGATACCATTGTGGAGAAGTAAAATTACCTAATGGGCAGTATTAGCTCTTCCAAAATCGGTGGTGAAAAAAGTGGGCACTGAGTTCACACGAATGTTGTCACTCGACAGTGCAATTAAATATAATGTAAAATACTGAAAATGGATCAAATCGAATAGTCGAATACGCTCTTGCACAGAAATGTTGTCACAAATGCTATATATCAAATGAAATCGCCGTGAAGTACGCTGTCGTAGTTCGACAATTGAGTACTCGTATTGTTTATTATTTATCGAACCAACATCTGCCTACAACGATCTATCGAACCGACAACAGCACAGACATAAAATGAAACTCCACTTCTCTCAATCTAATCAGTAGGTCTGCGGCCATCACATAATATGTATTAGACATTAAACAACGTAACACACAATATTGTGATTTACTGTAAATCACAGATATATCTTAAATCGTGGTTGTCATTTCATAGATATCAGATTTCGTCACCTGCGGTATCACACTATCACGTTATCGTTATCATTATCATGCCAAATCATCGTTACTATCGTTATTTTTTTTTCACTACGTAGGTGATATAAGCAACGAATGTATTTCGTGTACAACCGCAACTACCATCATATTAAAATACATTTTATACGGTAGTGGTAGTCTCGTCGGGTACACGAGTCACGACTCGCTATCGTTTGGCGTAACGTGCGCGTCGCATCGCGTCCGGTGGGTACACTATATTCCGCCGTTTATTATCATTTTTTTTTTTGAAATTTTTAGTAGTACTCCATATTTGGATTACTTCGAGTTTAAAACTATTTTTGTTCAAATCGTGTCCAAATAGTAATTCAATCGATTTTTAATCTTTTACCGCATTGTTGATCTGCAGTACCTGGACGGCGTGACATCGTCTGCTGTGTACTTGTGTTGGGTTTTAACATTTTACAAGTGAGCGCCCTTTAATATTTACGAAATTAAATTAAAATGCTTAATATGTTTTATCGTTAATTTAATAACGTTGTTTTGGTATATTATTATTAAATAATGAATATTTACAGGTATTTTTGGTTTTATTGTGCGTCCGTCAAAATATCTAGAATGCCAAAACATTTTAAACCTGAAAATATCACCGTGAAAATTGATAATAATACGAAACGCGCTACTTATGTTTATTCTTCTCCTCGTGTGTCACATGAAAAACGTCATACCAGTATTAAAAGGTATGATAGTAGTGCAGACGAGCAAGAGTTGTCTGAATATGTACGTCGTGGAGCTCGAACACCGCCAAGTCCTAGAGTGTCTAGGTTTTCAGAAATTGACGAATTTGACCGATCTAGGGATTTGGATCGCTCGTATCACACTTATAAAGTATTGTGTGTTAGTGCTCTACATCCTAAAGCAACTGACGAACAAGTCAAAGAAACTTTGTATCGAGAATACAGAAAATTTGGTGAATTTTCTGTTAAAATATCACATGAACTAGATGAAAGAATGGCTTATGTGTGTTTTAAAAACTCAGGAGATGCTAAAGATGCCATACAAAGTAAGCCTAAAATTAGTTTGTTTGATAAAATAGCTTTAGTTGCACCTGTTTATGAAAGCCGTAGTTCTAGAGATCATTATGAATCAAGAGCTAGACGTTCGCAATCCCGACACTTTTCTCCAGATGTTGAAAGGTACTATCCTGCTCCTATAGAAGTTCATAGACCACATCTAAGTGATAGGTTATACGAAAGGTTACCATATGGTGTTTTTCCCTCTATGCGTCCGCAACAAATCTTTCGACAAATAAATATGCCATCATTAAATCCACGTGAACTCATGATATCTCGACAACAGCTATTACATCGTATGCCTCCTACTCGTCCATTTCATCCATTGCATGGCCATGTGATACCAAGACATGTTGTGCGACCCCTTAAACCATACTCTTATCCTCGTATGATACAAGACAAAAAAGATAAATTTCCTAACTATTTACACCATATTCTACCTGAAGATGACCCATTAGCTACACGAACATTGTTTGCTGGAAATTTAGAACTTTCCATTTCGGATGAAGAACTTTACCATTTATTTAGTAAATATGGAGTTGTTGAGGATATTGATGTTAAACGACCGTTGCCAGGAACAGGAAATTCATATGCATTTGTTCGTTATCAAAATTTAGATATGGCTCATAGAGCCAAAGTCGAATTATCTGGTCAATATATAGGCAGATATCAATGTAAAATTGGCTATGGAAAATCTATTCCAACACTACGGATATGGGTTGGTGGTTTGGGTCCCTGGACAGCACTTTCTCAACTAATACAAGAATTTGATAGATTTGGTGCTATCAAAAAAATTGAGTTTACCAAAGGTGACACTTGTGCCTATATACATTATGAAAGTATTGATGCTGCAACTGCAGCTGTCAATGGAATGAGAGGAGTGCCTTTAGGAGGCTCAGAACATAAACTGAGAACAGATTTTGCTACAGAAGTCTGTAGCAGTCCTACATTAACTTATTCAACAAAGTCCAAGTCATCCCAAGGTGATGTTCCAGCAACTGCAAGAGATTTACAAGAACTAACAAGACAATTTGGTTGGCCAGATAATGAGTATCCTTTGTATAGTTCTAGAATTGATCGTAATGATCATACAGAATATAGTGAAGAAAGTAGAGGACTTGGTAATCATGAGAATAGTCTATCATTCAAGCAGCATTCTGTTTCTGATATTAGTTCTTCTGGATCATCACTTCACCAATTCATTGACAGTGATGTAGAATCTGAAGAAGCAGAAATACAATCTGTAAGTCCTTTGGATTCTGTTCGTACACTAGAGCATTTGGCTTGTAAATGTTCTGATTCATGGCAAGGCAGTCTTGTATTAAAAACCTCTCAGTTCCCTGCTAAATGCCATTTAATTTCCGGTGATGCAAATATCATACAGTCAATGATGAAAGATTTAGATGGTAAATCAATATTACGCATAACTCAACGATTGCGTTTAGATGAGTCAAAGTTGGAAGATGTTTCTAATCGTATAACGACTGCCGATAAGCATGCTATATTTTTGGCAATGCCTTATTCTACTCATTCCATTTACAACGATGACGCATTGATACAAATTAGACCGTTACGCAATTTAGTAACATATTTAAAGCAAAAAGAAGCTGCTGGGGTAATATCATTAATAAATAAAGATCCAGAACTAATTGGTGTATTATATGCATTTCCTCCATGTGAGTATTCAGCCAAATTATTGAAACAATTTGCAAAAAATTTAAGTAGTGAAGCATTAAATGATGATCATTTAGTTGTGGTAGTAGTTAATGGGGATCTTTAGTATTAAGAAATTATTTTTTTATTCAATTTTCAAGTACATTTGCCCACTAATAATGTATACAGGGCGTATCCGTATTTTATTTTTATCAATTTCATTTAATAATTGGTTACTATTAATTATTTTAAGTTTAATACAAGTTAATTACAATTTTATTATAAGTTTAATACAAGTCTATGACAAGTTTATTTTAATTTGAGTACAAATTTATTACAAGTTTTTTCCATTTTGTTATTTGTACCTATTTTGTTACTAGAATACCTACATTTTTTATTTATCACATTTTTTTTTTATTTCAATTTTGATGTTCTTAATTTGAAAGCATAAGTTCATAACAAAACATATAATTGTAGTTTATTAAAGCAGCTTGTGTAAATTCGAGTAATTACGTATACAACATGTGAAATGCGTAAAATAATTAAATATAATATTAAATTAAAACATCTGTAACAAGTTTAAAAATGTGTACTAAGGAGATTTTATATTTTTTATTACCATTTAAAATTATGTTTTATTTTGTTATTGATAAATGTTAAAATTTATAAAAATTTTAAATGTAGTTAAATTGTTTCTCTACTTTTAGAATACATTGTAAATTATCAAACAATCTGATACTTTGGATTGTTCAGTAATCTTTTTTTAATTGCTGTAACTATTTAAGACAAAATAAATACTTAAGTTATTAATCTGCCAATCTTGAGCTCTATAGCCATTTTATAATACAAAGTAATTTGCAATTTGACTGTTGTTCTTTAAAAAAAAACCTTAATTCATTTAATATAAATCAAGTATGACATATTTATGTTATTTTCGCTAATTTAAATTAATTATATAATTGTTTAAATATGAACCTTTGTTTTTTTTTTTTTAATTTTTATTGGTAGTCTTAATCTTGGAAGTTAAGTATATGCTGTTTCGGGTGTCTACAATTTTTGGTGCTCAGTGTTTAAGAGGATTTGGGGATTGTTTTCTTATGGTAATATATGTAAATAATAACTATTATTGATATTGGTTTGACTCAAATAGTAATTAGCTATTGAAATTGAAGAATTTAAAACATTAAAATAACAACTTTTTAAAAATTTGATTTTAGCCTGATTTAGGACTGCAGTTCAATATTATAATGTTTTGAATAAATATTTTTTCTAAATTTTAAATTAAAATTAATTGAATGAAATCTATAATTTATTAACACTTGTTAATAATAATTTAAAACTGACATATAATTATTATCATTAATTCCACCCCTCCACCTCCTCAAAAAAAAAACTAACTAAATAAAACCCAAACTAACATTTTCCTAAAACTATTCCGATGGAATAAGAACTAATTACTTTGATAATTAATCATTATACCAAATGAAAAAATATATATGAGAATAAATTATTTAATTATTGTTTAATTTAAGCTATTAATCAATTTATATAAGCAGACACCATTCATATACCTACTAATAAAGATTTAAGATGTTACTCCCAAGAAGATTCAACCAAATCCAGTCTTCAAGTGTGACTTAAAGTGGCAGAAAAATGTAAACACTAATCGAGTAGGATTTATTTTTCAGGTACTTATCCTAAATCTGTGATCACACCAAAATGATATTCATCAACTTCAGATTTTATTATACTGTAATACTATACATATATGGATACAGTAATATTGTGTATAGTGTATACAATATTACTATTTACTATAATTTAAGCCTATACTGATGAATCATGTGACTATTGACTGGATACAAAATAAATTTAATTTCACAAAACATAAGACATGTAATTAAAAATTAACATTTACATATAAACTGGTATTTAACACTAATTTGTCTTTGAAATGAATAAAATAAATTGTTCGCTATTGTTGATCAAGTCTGCAGCACTCCTACCATGCATTATAAGCAGTTATATATAATATATTAGTGACTGAAATGTTCTGAGAACATTTTGTAATGTTAGACAATAGACATACATGATAAATAAGTTTATAATCCAGCAAGAAAATCTCCATGATAAAGATATCATACTAGTTAAAATAATAAATGTATAAATATTAAGAAATAATTGATGATTGTCAATTCATACTAGTCATAACTAGTCAATGAAAAATAATTAAATAAAAGGCTGATTGTATTATTACTTAACACATTAGTAAATATATAATACTTATTTTCTTAAGCCAAACTGTACACGTAATAGTCAAAATAGTTTATCAATGACATAATAACTACCTTTAGTGTTTCAAACAAAAATTATCAAAATAAGGTATTATTTATCAAAAACATAGTTATTTTTACCAAAAAATCTTTTTCATCATACTATTTGGCTTCACCCGTCACTACTAATGTGTGACTACAAATAAATGTAAATATAATAATGCAATACCTAACATCTTCCCCCTAAATTTCCAGTCCATTAAATCCAATAACTTAATATAATACTAATTTATGATACATAAATGAAATATTAACCCGAATAATGTTCAGTTAATCAAATAACAGAAAGTTATAAAATAAGTATTAATTATTGTTCTGTGTCTTAGATTTGTGAACTATAGGGACACAAATAATACTATACATTTAGCTTTAAAGTAGAGTAAATATGAAGTGCGTAAATTACTTTGAAATATTTATCATTATAATATTCTTTGAAGTATCCTTAGCATCATATTTTAACAAGAAATATGCATATTTATTATCAGTAGATCAAATTCAACAACATCTTGATTCATTTACGTTTAAAAAAAATTAATTTAAAATTTGAAGCTAATAATATATAAACATATATTAAGTTCTTTTAAATATTTTTTACAGCTATTATTGTAGGTAGTGTATTAGTTATTTTTTATACTAATCATTATCATTTCCCCTAACTTATAGATTAATTCCATTGCAGCTACAGGAAATTTGGCTAATGCTGAAATAGCATTTCAACTTGAGTGCTACCAAACTCTGATTGTTTTCTCATCAACCAAATCACTAACCTTAACACAACATATTTTATTTATTAAAATATATCAGCATACTCTCAAGATCTTCAGTGATTATTTACTTACAAGTAAGTTCAGATTTTTTTAATTTGTCTAAACTCATAATTTTTTATCCTCAAAAACATGGTGAAAAAATTGGTGTCAAATTTCATTTGACATTGTTCCAATAATAATTAAAAACTTTCTGAATTGATTAATCCTTGAAAATATGTAATAAGTTATTTTATTAGTAATTTGTATTCATTTAAATTGATTTAAGTTAATTTAAATATTTGAAAAAATCATGGCTATGTATCTTTGATATTTTTTAACTGCTATTAATTATTAAACAACTTGTGACCCTAATTAAAATTGTTATTGGTAGTAAATATTTCATTATATCTTATTTATTACAGATATAAAACTAAAAAAAAATGTTTAGTTTAAAATGTCTATAAATAACCAAAAATTACTTAAAATATATTTAAAAATGTATCCTTATATTATCTATTATAATATGTATAGAAAATAATTTGAATATATTTCTTGAAAATTTCAAGTACCCACTTGTCTACGATTATTTGTTTTTGAGTTGCATCAAAATACAAAATCAGTTATGGATAAAATTACAAGTTTTTCATTAATTTTTTCTATTTTTCAAAATTATTTAAAAGAGTTCTGAGAAATTTCAAATTTCACCTCTTAAAAGTACAAATAAAATTCAATTTTCTATCAGAAATCAATTAACCAAGTATAAAATAGTAAGATCTTTACACAGATACAAAATAAATATAAATAAAACCATAACTAGAATAATTTGCAAAAATAAATTTAAAAACCGCATTTACCTGCGCAAAAAAAAAACTGTAAGAAATGTATTTATTTAGAATTTAGAATCAGAATGTCATGAAATGAATTTATTTTTTATTTATCACCTTATCACAACAATTATAAAAATCTAAAAATGTGCACCTCGATTATTACAATGTATATCATTATATTATGCCTACGTAATACGCGTATAAATACCATATTAATATATTATATACTATATTATTATTATATAGTCAAAACGATACTTTCAAATTCTTGATATTTTTTGTTCTACTTAGTCCTGTTGAGAACAAAATTATTTTTTTCAAATGAGACCCCCCCCCCTCTTTTCTACTCTTAATTATTTAGCACATAGTTCTTTTTTGGATATTTTGACGTATTAGATTTAAATTTTTAACTAGCAGTTTTTGAGTTATTTCAGAGGACATCGCACCCTCATGACGTGTTGTCTCCTTACACCAGTACGAAATACCAAATTTTCATAGGGAAAATTATTATCTCGGGCCACACGTAGGCTTTTATTGATATTATTTTTAAGTAAGTTATAATAATTTTAAAAAGTACATTTTCAAAAAGGTCAGAACTTACTTTAAAAAAATAATATCAATAAAATCCTACTTAACTTAGTAAAAATGTTAATGTGTTTGGATTCTATAAATATGGAGGCTTGCAAAGTGTAGTGATTAATGGTAATATTAATAATAATAATCTATCAACATGTACGAATGTACGATGTAGGTACTTAATAATTTGTGCGCGTACTATTTTCTATTTCCGTTCGTATCTGCAGATTTTTTTATATATTTACAGGGCAACGAAAATAAATGTAGGTAGGTACATAATCTTATATGCTTATAGCTTATTGATTTATTGTTCACATATTATAAAGAACATTTTATTTTTTTTCTAATCATTAATAATAAATAATAATGAATAAAAATTATACGAGAACCATACTAGTTTAGTTAGAGATATTATATTATTATGATATTCTGTATTCTGAAAACTTCTGTAATTTCTTAAAATGATCTAATACCATCAATGTTGTTGTTTGATTTAGATCCAGGCTGGCGATCCATGTGGCACACATGCACACTGCATCATATAACGTAGGCCTTCAAAAATATTCATATAATTACTTTTTGTTTATCTATTTAATGAAATAATATTTATTATCATTATATCTAAGATAGATATCTTATATATATATACGATATAATAAAATAAAAAAATCCCCAATCTTTCAGAAAATTTGTTTTTGTATGTAACCAATATAGTCTATACGAATATATTACTGGCACGTGGTATATTTTTTACACTGATAATAAAATCTTGGCATGTGACCAGAAAAAGGTTTGTCTTTCACTGT